AACATTTTTCTTCCAAGAAAATATAATAAAGTTAAGGTAGAAACTATAAAGATGAAAATTTTAACTGGATTAATGAATACCTTTCTCACTCTTATATTTGCTGAAAATAGAATAGGCTTTCTACAAAAGCTTAATATATAAAAATGGGTAGGGAGAATGCTGGAATTATTTTTCCATCTTGAGGGAATCTGGATTATATAATACCTAAGTCTATGTTTCTTTATGTTTTATGAATGTTAAGCAGTAACATACATGGTTCTCACTGATACATAAGAGACTAATGTAGAGTTTACAATAATTTAGCATATTCTTATAGACAGCTGGCTATCAGGGATTTAAATTAGAATTATTATTGTCTAAATAGTATATGCCCATTTCCTTCTCAAAGTTTTCTTACTAAAATATTTCCAGTAGTCCAAGAAAATCAATCAGAGAAAGTCTAAGTTTAATACTTGGCAAACTCCATCATTAAGGCTTACATTTCAAGCAAATAACATTGTCATAGGGGTACAGTCTTCACCTCTACAATTTTTTTTTGCTCAATGCTTTTAATTTCTTTTTTTAACACCAAATCTTATGGCTCTTACAGTGTTTGAGAGTTTAGTTTAAGCTGCCTATATTATCTAAAACCAAAGATTTACATGAGTTTGAGTTAATTGGAGCTCAAATGCAGGGATCAGCAAATTTTTCTGTAAAGATCCAACTAGTAAATACATTATTCAATTCTGCTTTTGTACATAAAAGAATCCATAGAAATTATGTAAATTAAAGAGTGTGGCTGAGTTCCAAAAATTTTTATTTATGGACACTAAAATTTAAATTTCGTAGAATTTTCATGTGTTATGAAAGATTATTCTTCTTTTAATTTTTTCCTCAACCATCTAAAAACATAAAACCATCCTTAATTCATGGTCCACATGAAAGCTGGCAGCAGGGTGGATTTTGCCCATGGAGGGCAGCTTTCTGACCCGGCTCCGCTGCTTGTACTGGTGTGTACATCCCATAAACAGGTTTATGAGACAATAATTGGAGCTCCTTTACCTCATAGAAACAGGTAAAAATTATTTTAAAATATATAACTCTGTGAGCTATGGTTTTGCTTCCCTTCTATCCTACAAATTCTTATTGCCATTCTCATTTAGGTTGAGCTTTAATTTTAATTCTTGTCATTACTCTCAAAATATATAAATGGTATATTCTAGCACATGGAAGATCCCTCGAACTTCTATTTTTCCTTCAAATGCTATTTCTCTTATTATTTTCTCATTCCTTCAGATGGGGGTAAATCTTTGGTATTTACTATTTCATTTTAATTGGCCTTCGCATCTCAAATGTTTTCAGGCAAACAAACTTGCAGGCATTATTCTACTTACCCATTTGGATCCCATACTATTTGATATAACATAAGAGTCAACTTCCTCAGTTTTAACTAATATATATCATATGAGTTTACTAAATACTACTAGTACTATAAAGTCTACTATACATAAATTTAGACAGGTTGATTTATTAACTTTTTTCCTTAATATTTGGAATTCCATAAAGAACCTATTCCTCAACCTTAATCTCTAAGGCAATACTCTTTTTTCTCAGGTTTTAAAAAAAACTAGAAATATATACAAAAATTATTAGAATTGTCTCATGCATTTCTTGAAACATGTTTACTCTCTATCCTCATTACCTGTCAGCAGCAAGTTTGAAACTATACAGACAATGACCAGTGTCAAAAGAAAGGGGCAAACAGGTTTTTAGAGTTTCCACAATGGCCAACTGAATTTCACTTTGATGGTGACAATTTTAACTATCAGCTTTTACTTTCTCTAATCATTCTCGATTGAAACCATTGTTTCCTATTTAGATACTATCACCATTTACACCACAACCACATTCAAAAGTCCAAAATTACCTTTAATCTCTTTGTAGCCATATTTCTGAAAATATTTGCCCCAAGAGACTAGGAAATGAGCTATCACTATAACTTAGGAGATGTCGGCACACATTTCAAAACACACCTTCCTATTCCCTTTTTGCATATTTCCTTCCTTCTCCCTATCTCCCTCCTCTACATTCTTAACCTTAATTTAAGAAACCACAGGAATGTTGTTGATTTTCCAATAATCCAGATTGTTTTCTAAAGATACTTTCCAGAGGAAACCCAATTGCTTCCTCCAAAAAATTTTAAAGAAAATTTCTAAGAATTACTAAGTATTCTAATTAACATTAGTATAGCACAAACTACTTTTAAAATATATGTATCCTGAAAAAATAAATAAAATAAATCAAGCTTCCTAATGTAATTGGAGTCTTATGAATCCAAGAATATGTAAGCCACTAGCTCATGTCCAAATTATAGTTCATAACTGTCACTCATTATGATTTTAAACTACTAAAACTTCTCATTTACCATATTTTTATTTTACCTGTGAATTTAAATCTCATCTAAATGAAAAATTACCAAAAAAGTTCTCATTTTTAAAAGAGGAAATTATGTAATTAATACTATGAAGATAATACTCTATAGTAATTATTACTAAATGTTTTAAAATAAGAATATTCACATTCCATAACTAATATTTATTTTTTTTTAATTTTTTAAAAAAGTAGTTACCAAGTACCATGATGGGAACACAGGTTTTTTTCTTCAGCCAAAATCTTTTCTTAAGATAATACCAATGAGTAAGGTGATGAGAATGTTGAATTCTCAGAAATAACTATTACCAAAAATGATCATAAGTGGAATTACACAATGATACCTCAGAATAACAAATCATCTGGAACAAAGGAACCCTCTAAAAGTCACTCAGAATGAAGTAGAATTTTTAAAGATTCTCTTCCCACCTCTTGGCTGATGACAATGTCACATTCATTGGCATTTTCTCAGGTAAGGATTTTAAAGAAGTTGGGTGTTCTGTGATATTTTTTGTTATTTTTCCTCTGGTTAGGATACTTCAGAGAATGATATGAGAGACCAGTACATACCTCTGTTTATAGAGCCACTATTATTATCAAAAATTGTTATTTGCATATTATTCAACATTTTATATAAGTAGTAATAGGACCTTTAAAAAATGTAATGATGTATATCCATCATCAATAGTATCACACAGAACATTTTCACTCTGCTAAAAACCCCTTGTGCTCTGCTGATTCATTTCCCACCCCTACCCTCTGGCATATGCACCTCTTTTTAGTGTTGTCATAGTTTTGCCTTTTCGAGAGTGTCATACTTTTGGAATCATACAGTGTGTAGCCTTTTCAGACTGGCTTCTTTAACTTAGCAGCATACATCTGTGTTTCCTCCATGTCTATTCGTGGCTTGATAGCTCATTTCTTTTTGGTTCTGAATAATATTCCATTTTATGGTGTTGAGAGTTTAGCTAAGCTACTCCATGGTATTGTTGCCTATGCATTTATTTTGTTTGGCCAAGTGGCCTGTAGAGACCTTAAACTGACACTAACCCGCTCATGCTAGTGCATGCCCTAGATAGCAGCCACAGAGTCACAAGCAAATGTAAGTCCCTGATATGACTTTCTCAATGGCCTCTGTGGTCAACAGTTTCTTCTTAGGCAAGACCTTGTGGGGCTTACCAAAATCCTGCTCTTTTGGTTTAAATTGACCAACCCATTCTTAGCCAAGGAACCCTGAAGTACTCCATCCATGACCCTAATAAAAGTATTTGCCCCAGATCCTGCCTCATCTTCTTTGTCTGCACTCTGCCTTCACCTCCCCATGCGTTCCTTCCAGACATGTGGAGAACTTCCTCCAGGACTTATGAGCAATAAACTTCTGTATTTCTATTTCAGTTATCTGTTGTTGAACTGTGGCTCACTATCAGGTACCCTGTGTTCCACTTAACAAATGCCAATTTAATAAAGTTATAATATATGGATATACCACAATTTTTTTTTATCTATTCACCTACAAAAGGACATCTAGGTTGCTTCCAAGTTTTGGCAATTAAGAAAAAACTGCTATTAATATCTCTATACAAGCTTCTGAGTAGACATATGTTTTCAACTCATTTGGGCAAATAACAAGGAACTGGGTAATCACGTGGTAAGAGTATGTTTAGTTCTGTAAGAAAACACAAAACTGTCTTCTTAAAGAGCTGTACCACTTTGTATTCCTACCAGCAATGAATGAGAATTGTAACAGAGATTTTTATGTAAGACAAGCTCCCCTAAATTCAAGTGTATTATACTCAGAAAAAAGAGAGGCAATGACTACATCAAATAGAATACTGCAGCATAAAGTACCTTTTACTTAGTTTAAAAATTAATATATATTCTGGAAATATGTTTAAAGTACTTTGATCTAAGTACATATTATAAAATAATACAAATGAAAAAGTACACACACACGTTTAAGGGCATAAACACACAAAGAGAGAGAGAAAGAGAGATATGTATATACGCACCTGATGTTTGCATAACAATAATGTTATCTTCCACTTATAGTGTATTTTTGAATTTATAGATACTTAAAATTTTATTATTTTGTTTAATTTTCACAACTACACTGTTTTATCCATTTTTTAAATATAGACTAGAATCAGAAAAATTGAGTTACATGTCAAAGCAACATAGCTAATAAGTGGCAGAACCAGAAATTAACCCTCTGGTCTTCTGAAGACAAATCAGGAACTATTTTCCACACCTTAAGATTCATAACATCACATACACACACATACATGCAGGCACACATGCATGCACAAAACTATTCATAAAAACACATCCGTGAAATTTGATATATATAATTTAATTTCCTATATTAATCTCTCTCTTAATAGATACAATAGAGAACTTGAAATTACTCTAGACTGACTAAATATTGTATTCCTGGTTTTAATTACTACAAGTAATTTTTCTCATAATATATTTCATATCACTTAGCTTTTTGGAGCTAGAATTACCTGTGGAATAAGAAAAATGAATTGAGAGACGGTGCCCTAAGATGATGTTTGGCATGAGCCAAAACAATCATGTGAGAAAACAATTACCTTAATAACAGATGTCTCAACTCTAGATGGAGGACTCTGAACTTGTGCTGCCGCCGCCATATTTGCAATGGTGCTGAGATGGTTCATCTGGCTCATTGCCATGGTGACAGATGCTGGAGGTAGGCTGACAGGAATTAGAGGGTGGGGCATCATCATAAAAGGAAGTTCCAGTCCTATAAAAAATACACATATATCATCATTGCTGTGGTCAAATAAAACTGTGATACATGGTATATCTCATTTATTAAAATGGTTAAGAATATAAATCATTGAAAATTGAAGCAAAGATGCCCTAATAATGACAATCAAAGGAGAAATATTTGTATGCAACAATACTCGCTCACCACTCGAGGGAATTAGGCTTACAGCTACCTAGCTTGGTGTCAGGTTTTATCACATCACCACTCTTCATGTGTTTAATGCAAATGGTCAATTCTCTGCTATATTATTCTTCTGAGCAGTCTAATTCTTGTTTAAAATACTAGAGTTTTCTTTATCTTATCATGATTAATTATCTAATGTAGTATGTCTCTTTATGATGTCTTATATTTTAGTATCTGACAATTAGACAGGTTTTTTTTTTTTTTGCCTATCATTTTTCGTGCTAAAAAAATGCCATCGTACCATTTGGCAGAAGGTGGCTCTGCTGAAGATGGTGGAGAGGATTTCTAACTGGAAGGCTATGTGCTCCAGGCATGCGGGTGTGGGTAACAGAAGCCTGCAGTCCCTGGGGTGGGGAAGGGTACAGTGTTTTCTTATCCCAAGAACCATCACTGCTGCCTGTGGGGAATGAATATAAATTATTTGGATGCAATATTATTCCAAATATTCTAATGACTAATTAAATATGAAGTTTTAAAAAGCATATTACATTTGGAGACTGGCTAAGTGATTTCTTGGGAAATAAGCTCAAGTAAGTAAATTTCCCCTAAATCTTATTTTCTTTTTGTTTTTCTATTTCTTAGATAAGTTAACAAATTTAGGGGGAAAAAAACATTCCTACAACAATTAGCCTATTTGCAGACTCTAATCCCTTTTGACTAACCAACTTAATGTAAAATGGGTTCTATCATATGCCTAGAGAATTAATTATTTCTTGGAACTGAAGTACACTGATAGTTATAGTTTTAGAATGCAAACATATCCTTGTTGTAGTGTTATAGTCACCATTCAGAATTAAAATTCCTCACTTAATTCCGCAAACTCTAACTGTGGAATAAGTAAAAGCCCAACTTGGTTAGACATAGTAGAGAGACACAAAGATCAATTTATAAAAGATAATGTCAAAGCAATAAATTACATGTGTGAGTCAATAAATGCATTACTTGTTTTCAACTACAGAGAAACAAGTTTATGATTGTGGTAATATTAGTCAAAGTCAAAACAGTACATTTGAGGACTTACCTTTTCAATGCCTTAGATTTAAATAGATCTTGAAATTCCTTAACAGGAAACTACTTGAAGATGTTTATAAATCATTTCAATTTAGACATGTCCCCAGATTAAATTATTTTAACGCTAATTTATTGCTTAACTGAATCTGTCGAATATCTAAACTACCCACTTGAAAGAAAATTTCTGTAATATCCTTGTCAGCTTATGAGATTTCCTTTCTTAAAAAAATTAAAAGAAACCAGATTCTCATATCATATGCTTAGAAACAGCAAAGTTGGTAAAACTCCAATATAAATGCTTTAGCTCTATTAAAAGCCTCATTGTAAAATCTCTATGACAGAGTTTTTAATGAAGAATACTTAGTTACTGCCATGATTTTTTTCCATTTACTTCATGAAGACAGTTAAGGTTCAATATAAATTCAAACTCATTAGCTCAATACTGTCTGGATCTTAGAGTAAATTGTTCAGAAGTGGGTAATGAAAACTCGATTCAAATTCCTCAGCAATCAAACAAAGCAGTTTTATTAAACAATGAAAAGAATCAATTAAAATGGATATCTTTATTATCTTTATTATTTTATAAGAAACCATGACAGCTTTTGGCTAAAAAAAGAAAGTTTATAGCTTCATATAGAAATGACTCACATAAAGGATATTGCCCCAGCTTGCTCCTCTATTGTGATATAAATGTTCACTTTCATATTCACAAATTTATATACATTATTTCCCTGATCATGACTTTTTTGATACTTATACCAAGGTCCTACTCAAACACGCAAAAACTATAAATACATAAAGTTTTCAAATGTATCATGTCAAGAGATATTTCAGTGACTAAATATTTTAAACATCTCTACTTTATATTGCCTTAATCCAAGTATATGGAAATGTTTTCATTTCATGTTTACTTTTTATGAAATCAATTAAAACAAGAATTGAGGCATAATCACTATTTGGATGCAGAAATAACACTTGGAATAAATGTTATATGATTACGGGAACCACATTGAAAATTTATAATTAATAGGTAATTTTCTCTATATGTTATTTTTCATTAAAAATATACAAATAATGCAAGGATTACATTTTCATAGTGGTTTGCCTATTTGAGGATAATGAACTATCGTATGGAGTAGAGAATAATATTTATATTTATTATTCTGAATTTAGCTTGAGTTCTATATATACCTATTAACTACTTTTATTTTTCTGTTCATTTGAATTAACTTCTTTTATTTGAATTCTGATTGCCGGTTAATAAATAAGAACACTTGTTTTTTCAAATATACTTCTATTTCACTCATCAATAGAGAAGCACTATAATTCTATTTATCCACATCATCAAGGTGTAAAATATTAAGCTAAAATTCTGTTGAACTTATTCTGAAAATATATTATAGACAAAATACTATCTATTTTCACATCTCTTTTGCGTCATAGGATATCAGCCCCTTGTATAAGGGTAAATATCAATCATACATATGTGAATTATCCATAGCAAGTTTATAACACTAGATTGAATTTTCTCACTACATAAAATGCTCCTAGCCATCTCCGCCAATCATCATTTGTTAAATACTCATGATGTTAGCTCATTTGGGTAATAAATAGAGCAAACAATTAAGAAACTAAGTCTGATGAAAAATATACAATATATAACCAAGTCAGCAGTAAGTGATTTTTGCATTATTTATCACATCCTTCTCCTCTATTAGCATGAATAAATAAGAATTGAAAATAGGCCACTTCAGAACAAGACATGCCCATAGTTATTAATTTCAAGTGCTTTGGTTTAAACCGATATATTTAGTGATATAAACCAGTATATATGTGCTATGCTTACATACAAACATACAGACAGGCATATATACTTTTAAAATTAAGGTTCACTATTATGACCACATAAAAACTTGCAAGAAACAGAAGATTCAACATATAAGAAAATTTTTAATATTTGCTAAGGGGAGTTAGAGAAAAACAGAACATGACTGATTCATTTCTCCTCTTCACTTCTTGTAGGATCAGACTGTTGCTTTGACTTTATGGTGGAATAAAAAGACATAGTTGGTAGAACCCTAATATCTTCAGAAAGCATATATAATGATAGGGTGTTGAAGCATGCATACAAAAACTCATTAAATATGATAAAGATATACAACGGTTTTGAGCCAAAGGAAATGGTCGAGTTTATAAAAGGAATCTAATAGTGCATCCAGCTCTTTGATTATTTAGAATCTATAATTATATTTTAATGTTGGGGGCGGGCATTAAAGGGAGAGAGGGTGTCTTGTACCTAGTCCTACACGCAGATTGTGGAGAAGCACCAGAACGATCTTAGGCTAGACATTCAGCTTACTGCAGAACACACAGGTAGCTGATAAAAGATGAAATTAAATAATGTAACCAGAGGGATCATGAAGGGCAGATACTAATGCTATGGCATAATTTTGGTGGTGTGAAATTAACAAACGTAGTCTTACAGCAGCCAAATGTAAGGGAGTATATGAATGAAAGAGAGAAAATTGAAATTAGCAGATTGCCAATTTTGTCTCTTTAGAAAAACTATTAATTATGAATCCATATAATCTGAAAAAATTTACTTACCTTGTCAAATACTAATATTAAAAATTTATTAGTAATAACATATTCAAATATATGGAACTTACATATAAAAAGTCATTGTATATGCTTAGTTTTTCTTTTGGGTAAAAGGTGTTTATTTCTCAAGGACAAGAAAAGTGATCTTAAGATTTAGTTTAACTGAAATTCAAATTTGTAAGGACTAGGCATGGGAGATTCTCTCCCCTTACACTCTCCCCACACTAACATTAAAACATATTTTACCACAAAACCATCTGTAAGTGTTCAAATGAACCCAAATTGTTGGTAATGGCTTTATTTCTTCTTTCTTGGGAAAAAATTAAGGTATTATTTTAACAATTGGGCTTAACATATTGTGTTGCAGCTCATCCTTCAGTGACATATTTTAAATGTTTAAATTAGTTGTCACAAATTTATTTTATTATACCACCAATAGCTGATTAAAAAGATCAAGATATTACTAGGAAAAAAATCATAGTTATAGAATCTGAAAAAAACAAACTTGATGCAATAGTTCAGTCTTTTTAGGAGCTGGGAGTATTTTTCTTGGCTCATCCCCATTTTATAATTTTATTGTCTTTTATGATACATATTTTATGATGGACCAGGTTTTAAACACAGAAATATACTATTTGGAGAGAAACTCGTATGATTTGAAAGTTAACTCTACTCTAAGGGTAATCATGTTATTGAATAGTCAGAATTCATAGGTTGCAAATATAAAATAGTTTTGTTTTTCTGCTAATTATTGCCTTCAAACATACTCTATCAAGACCATTTTTCTTCCCCTTATTAACCTTGATCAGATTTTGAGTATAAAAATTTCATTCTAGTTAACACTCATCCCTGCTTCTCTGTCTCCATCAGCACTGGCCAGCACTAGAGCCTAAGTACCTGGAAGACAGACGGGCTTGGTCAGCTATCTGTTCTCCTCCTCTTCTCCTCCAGGGTAGTGAGATAAAGGTCTCCTATCCATCTGCCTCCTATTCAAGGCCTCCCTGCACTGTTACTTCTACTGCTATGCCTACTAACCACTGAGGTGCCTAAATACTAAATATCGCCTGCTAAATACTGTCTGATCCTTTAAGAGAGGCCTTCTAGGGGAACTTCCTAACTACACAAGTCCCTTCAGCTTCCTACTCTTGTAAACTCCCTAAAGTGTCATTGTTTCTTGG